CTGTAACATATTCGGAAATAATTCTTTTTCAGACTGTCCACATTAGAATCTCCGCTCGTTGTCCGTTCTGATGCTCTTTCGCTGACTTCGATTCTAAGCATCCACATGTAATGTACATATGCCTATAAATACATTTGTGTATATGCTCGTATATTTACCTACTTACATGTGACTTATTTCCAGTCCACTGTGATCTGTGCGCTTGATGATTGTGCAGTTGTTGCTTTTCGATACTAATTATGAATATATATATATATATATATATATATATATAATCAATCTTTATGCATACGATGCCAAAATAACCATGAATTGAACGCGAAACTTAGCAAGAGAAAAAGGAAGAAAACAAAACAGCCAACTTTGTAATAACAATATTTTTGCTTGTTTACCACACGCCATTTTGACATTTCTGTTTTACTTTTGGTATCCCACATAGGAAACGGTGCATTCAGTCCACTGACTTCGGTTTAGTGCCATATCCCTCCGTTTCAACAGGAAAAGATAATCTGAATCTTTGGGGCTCCAGCCGGAAAGCCCCGACGGAAGTCGAATCCCAACACAAACTTCTCAACCCTCTACAACACGTCATAACCCACCCACCTCGCTGTTTCTTCCAGCCCTGACCAATGTTTGTCAATAGCGCACGGTATAATAGACGTTTGGGCATTCTTAGAACGTGCCTTGGCCACTTAAGTCAATGCAGTGAGACGGTTTTACTCAGTGTCAGACTATCTGACCCTAACACGTCGTCTGACCTCAACGTTATTCACGCGACGCTTCCACCATACTCGGGCGATGTTGCACAGACAACGGTTGATCATTTAACATGATCTGCTCGGAGAGGCCAGGTTTTGCAGTCATAGAGCAACTCAGCGTGTACCGTTGTGCAATACACATGCTCGCTCATAAATTACCCTCTATGGTCCACACACAGAGTACACAATCGAACTCTGCATACATACCTTTTCAAGCATTCTGACCTAATAAGAAGTGACAACAAAAACGCCACTGCTGTCGGTTAGTCGCCATATCCTTCAGTGTCTCCAACCAGCCAACTCCAGAGTCTTTCGGACCCCAACCAGGAAGACGGGAGACACCGATTCTACGTAATCCCTCTATGCATTTCTTCGTACCTCGTTTCCATGTCATCCGTTGACCTCTACACGTTCTTCCAACTTGGAGCTGCAACTGCGAATACGGCGCGGTGTGGCAGACGATGACTCGGCATGCACAATACATGCCCTAACCAGCGAAGTTCGCTAATCTGAATTCGATGGGGCAACGAATTCTCTATCTAAGCAATACCCAATACGCGACGCCTTACCTCAGAGTTGCTTATGCGCTCGCTCTATCCAACCCGCGCCAACCTACGCAAACACCAGCAGTCCAAGACTTCTAGATGACGAATATCTACCACGCGCAAATTTACGGTCTCACAGCCATAGAAAAGAACTGACCACACACTGGCGCAGGATACACGACCTTTCAGTTTCAACGAAACATCATATCTGCACCAAAGGTGTTTTAGTCCTGTGTAAGCTGTTCGAGCCTTAAAAATGCGGGCGGTTGCTCCATTGACTAGGCCACCATCATTTATAATGCAGCTATCTATGTAAGTGAAACATTCCACTACAGCTAATTCTTGACCATCAAGCATCTGCACTGGGCTAGACGATACTCAATCTTGTAGCATCACTTTGCACTTTGAAGGTGCGAAGCGCATGCCGAAAGGAGTTACAGAACTTGAAAGTTTGTCAAGAGCGCTTTGCGCATCCTCCATAGATTCGAACAGGCATACGATGTCATCAGTGTACTCTAAATCGCACAGCTTTTCTCCAGCTGCCTATTCAATACCTACGTT